CCCCCCCCCCCCCAACTGTGTTTAGAAGGTAATAAATAAATATTATTTATTAATAAATAAATATTTATTTATTTAGTACAATTAATTAAAAGGTTATTGAGATCTGTTGGAAGTTGTTTTTGTTTTTTTTCAAACTTTGAAGCATTAATAAAAGACATTTACGTTTAGAAAACATATTGACGTATTGTGTTCGGTTAAATTTATTCCTTTAAATTTTCTTTACCTGGTCGTAAAAAGTCTAACATTTACCATCATAAAACCTGCCAACTCTAACTAAAACGAGGGAACATATTCTACAATATTGATGATAGACAATGGACCTTTTTTTGCCCGTAAAAATCTGCTGAAATATTTCTAATATGGCCACGCCTAAATACTGTTTGATACCATTATTCTCAGGTATTTTTAATTTCTTATTACCGTAACCTAAGCAAATAATAAAACAAACTTTGCTGTACATCAGTAACCATCATCAGCTTCAGGTTCTTGCACGGCTATTGCGTGCAAAAATATGAAAGCAGCATTGTTAATAATAAGAAACTGTCCTTGAGCAGCAAATCAGCATATTAGAATGATTTCTGAAACAAACTTTGCCGTACATCAGGTGTAAATGTAAATCCACCTGTATGCTCATCTCTTTCTCCTTCTCTTCTTCTCCACCATGTCATCCTCTTCCGATGTATCCCGGACTTCCTTCTTCCTCCGCCCAGTTTGTGAGTACATCATTTGTCCATCGCTCTTCTTTAAAAGCCACAGTGAATATGTCTCTATTGTGCCCTAGTGGTAGTCGTCACAAAGGTGCTATTTGGTTAGTGAGAGTTGAGGGTTCCCCGCCAGGCCAAAACAGGAACCTGAGGAACAAGGGTAGGAGACGTCACATCCTGTTGGCCGTCGTCCGTCTTGCCAAGCCTCCATGAGGCCTGTCGCGCTGTCAGTCAAGCATGTGTGCCGGCCAATCCATCTCAAGGGTGCGACAGCCCAAACAATAGAGCGGCTGATAGGGAAACCAGACTTCATCTATCACAATATGTCCCACGGGCAGGACTGGAAACACCTACAGGAGAACACATGCATAAGAATGCACAATAGTGGAGATATGGTGCGTATTGTGTACAGATGAAATAGTATGCAGTATGCGTACATAGATTTCTGACTGTAGTGCATTGTTGTCATGTGACTTTAGACAGTGAGTTGGGTCTAGTTATTAAAAACTATTGAAAAGTGTAATTTTGCATTTTTAATGCCATTTTGTGTAAAAATGGGGTGAGTTACTGAAATCGTAGCTGATAGATACTGCTTCAGGTTCTTACACTTACATTCATTTTTTTTTTTACAAAAATATGAAGCAGCGCAACTGTTTTCAGCATTGATAATAATAAGAAATGTTTCTTGTGCAGTAAATCAACGTACAGTATTAGAATGATTTCTGAAGGATCATGTGACACTGAATGTAAAATTCAGCTTTGATCACAGGAATACATTACATTTTAAAACACTCACTCACTCACTCACTCACTCACACACACACTGATAATAATCAGAACTGTTTCTTGAGCAGCAAACCAGCATATTAGAATGATTTCTGAAGGATCATGTGACACTGAATGTAAAATTCAGCTTTGATCACAGGAATACATTACATTTTAAAATATATTCAAATAGAAAACCGTTATTTTAAATTGTAATATTTCTAAACATTACTGTTTTTTTTTATTTTACTGTATTTATGATCGAACTAATGCAGCCTTTGTAAAGCATAAATCACTTTTTTCTTTTTTTATCATTACCAAAATCTTACCAATACCAAAATTTTGCACAGTAGCAGTAATGAACTCACTTCAAGCCCATTGCACTGTGGGATACAATATTTGGAGTACTATGCTATTAGGAACCATAGCCACTAAAAGCATTTCAGTATGACAAATTGTCGTCACATTACCTCATTTTGTTTACTTGCAGAATTTGTTTTATGTTTTTGGAGTAGTTTTGTGTAGAAATATCTTAAATCTAGGCAGTCCGAATTAGTATTTGAAATTTTAAGTTAAATAATGTAGACCAGAACTGTATTTTGTTCTTTGCTACATATACATTTCTTTACAAAACAAACAAATTCCATTCCATTCATTCATTCAGTTTTGAGAGGTTTGGTTTAACTTTCGGGAAACAGAAAAATTCACTTAAAGGGATAGTTCACCCAAAAATGAAAATGACCTTGTGATTTACTCACCCTCAAGCTATCCTAGGTGTATACGCCTTCTGAAGCAAAACGATGCATTTGTGAAAGAAAAATATCCGGTGAGAAAAACCGGTAAGAATATGCTAGTCTCTAGGGGTGTAATGGTACGTGTTTTCCAGTCTCCTCTTGGTTTATATTGAAATCATCCAACATTTTTCTTTACAAATCCTCCTTTTGTACTTTTAATTAACCGGGTGTTTTGTTTTGTTTTGAATTTTATTCAATTTGAGATGATGGTATTTGAAACATATTTTTCTCACCCACATGACCCTTCTTGAAAGAAAAACATCAAATGTGGAGAAAAGTTATTTGATCTTTTTTTTCCCTCCACAATAACATGCACAGAAACTTAAGCACAGTACAAGCACATAAAGTGGCTGATTTTGATCCAGTGTCGTCTTGAAGAATCCACCTCATGGTCCTGCTAAAGGAGGTGTGTCGCTCAGGCTGAGGTCAATAGCTTCCCATCTTCTCCATTCGTTTTGTTTGAGAGCGCCGGGCGTTTGAAGCTCCAGCGTCCGTGTGCATGTGTGCGGTGCGCGGCCCCTTCTCCTCCTGACAGGCCTTGTCAACAGCCTGATGCCTGGGTGGGTCCTCCATCAGAGGGTCATACCAACATCATCAATCTTGCACCCCGTGACAGGCCTGTGCTCCCCCCGCAGTGGGCACACTGGTTTGTTGTTTTGTAATTAGACCGCCATTAGATGGCAGGAAACCGTCCCCTCCACACCCTCTGTGCACAGCTGGGGCCCGCTGGCAGCCTATGGGAGGCACGGGCCACTCCACCGCGTGCCGTTAGGGGGGTGGGGATCTACCTAGTGGGAGAGAATGAACATGTGGAGTGTAAATGATGTATTACAAGATGAATCAGATGGCTTGACGATTGTGTACTAGCTCAAACAAGCTGGCCAAACAAGCAATATGAGAATTCAGATCGACCGTGCTGCCCAAATGTCTCAGACCACACTGAAAATCTGCTGTTTTTTGGATTTAGACAGAAAATAACCTTTTTTAGGTTAGTTTTAGAATTTAGAAAAATGTTTAATTAATTCTATGAAATTAAATTATTTAAAAAATGAAATTAAAACTATGAAATAACATAAATGCAAGTGTGAGAATTATGTAGTGACCAAAAATGTTAAACCAATCCTCTCAACCAATTTCGTTATGTGAAAAAAAAAAATAATAAAAAAATGAATGAATGAATGGATAGTCTAATAAAAAAAATATTAAAATAAAGTCAAATAAATATAAAAATAAAAATGCAGAATGTATGAAGAAATAATATTTGAAGGAGTACTTAGCATTCTGCACAATTTTTGGGTTAAATGTAGTAATAATAAAAAAATTTAAGATTGAATGAATGCGTGAGGTAAAATAAATAAATATAATAAAATAAAGTAAATATTAAAATAAAACGATATTAGTATTAGTAATATTTAGTATTCACAATTTCTAGGTTAAATGTAATTAAAACATTTAAGGGTGAATTAATGAAAGAATGGATAAATTAATAAAGTAAAAAATGAATATTAGAATAAAATTATGATCAGAAATATTATTTGAGGATTGAATATTTAGTATTCTGCACAATTTCTAGGTCAAATGGAATGAATAAAAGCATTTAAAAATGAATATTGTGTAAAGAAAGTAAAATAATTAAATATTAAAATACATTTAAAAATAAATATTACAATAAAATAACATTGTAATGAAAAATACTATTTGAAAACTGAATATTTAGTATTCTGCACAATTTCTAGGTCAAATGTAAAAAAATAAAAGCATTATAAAAATGAATAAAAGAAAGACATTGGACAGGAAGATGTTCATTAAATGATATGTTACATTTGATGTAAATGTGTCTATATAATATGCATATTTACATTTGTATATATTTAGTATTGTAATGTTTCAATATCTCTCACAGACAGCACTACACTGGGCTGCGAAACATGGTAAAGAAGACATGACCAATATGTTGGCAGAAGCAGGGGCTGACATCAATATAAAAGCAGTACGTGCCACTGCTTCATAAATCAATACCTTTTTAGCATACATGCCTAAACTGAAATGCATTTACTAATCATTGTGTTTTTGTCTACTTTTCTCTCACAGCATGTAAGTACTGCTCACCTTACATTCACCCTTGCTGTGACAGCGTGCCTGGGTTCATGTTTCTCACGTGTGTGCCAGGCTGCCAGAAAGTGTCCGTTTTTGAAATGTCCGCTTCTGACATAACTCCTGTGAAAGGGTATGCGGGTGCCCAGCTGTGCAAATGAAGCCAGGCGCTGTTTGAGAATGTCTGTTCATAAATCAAACTCTGTCATGTTAACAGCTTCCCTTAAACAATGTCTTCATGTATTCCAACTGCAAGCTCAGAGCAAAGCAATTTCACTGAATTACCAGGCAATTACGATTCTGTCATTAGATTTTGTTGCTGTAACCTCAGTTAATTTGTGTCCCGTCTTTCTCTCCCCCTCTTCTCTTCGCTCTGTCACTCTCTGATTCTGTTGTGTAGTGTTTGTTATGACTGGGACATGGGCACTAGGGGGGAGTGTGGAATTTTCCTTCACCCTGTCCATTTCCTTTTCATTTCTGTTTTGTGGTGAGATTGATCACTAGAGATATTTAAAATAGAAAAGCTTCTCTGTTTGGGTGAATCTCACAGATAACATTTTCACCCCAAAATCAAAAGAAATTAAATAAAATTATATTTAGCAGTGTAGAAATTCATTAATTTTATTGTAATGTGTGAATTACTTTTGTGTTTATTTATTAATTTCATTCGTTTTTGTTATTCTTCTTTATATATATATATATATGAATGAAAATGTCACAGTGCAAAAATGTAAAATATTTGTAATATATGTAAAATATATTTTGTATTTAATTGAATTCAATATTTTTGTTTAATTGAATTTAATACCACACTCTAAAAAATGCTGGGTTGTTTCAACCCAATGTTGGGTCAAATATGGACTAACCCAACTGTTGGGTTAAAAAGCTAATTAAAAAATGTAACCAAAATTTAACCCAACAGTTGGGTTAGTCCATATTTGACCCAACATTGGGTTGAAACAACCCAGCATTTTTTAGAGTGCATATATTTATATATTTGTGTGTTACGTACATATTCCGGAAATGAAAATTATTAAATAGGCTTAAGTGTCATGAATATAATGTCACCGAGCAAACAATCTGACAAATTTTACTTTATGTAAAATAGTTGTTAATGTAAAATATTGTTTGTGTTAAATTTAATTAAATATTTTTGTTTAATTTAATGCAAAATATGTATATATTTGTGTGTGTGTGTGTGTGTGTGTGTTACAGCAGTGACAATTATTAAATAGGCTTAATTGTCATGAAAATAATGTCAATAGTGTGCAAAAAATCTAAAATATATTTTATACATAAAAACAAATATTACTACATGCAAAATATTTGTAAATGTAAAATATATTATGTATTTAATTAAATTACATATTTTTATATAATTTAATAAAAAAATAAAATGTATATATATATATATATATATTTTTTTTATTCTTTCGATTATGGGATGAAATATAACCTGGACATGCTCTTGACACTTTTTGAGATATTCAGTCTTTTGTTCTTACAGGGATACACACCGTTACACATCGCAGCACTGCACGGCCATCGACATATATATGACCTGCTGGTCAGGACATACGGTAAGCATTCATACCTCAAATTTTTTTATTATTATTTATTATTTAATTTATCTAAGCATGTAACTCAAATTAATAGAGCAAAAATAAAAATTTAAAATTATCCGAAATTAAATAAGACATAAATATGAAAGCAGTGACACTTGAGTTGCTTAATTTAATATTGCTGAAATACGAACATGTTCACAGGAGCGAAGGACAATCTGCGGGACTACAGCGGCCACTTAGCATATCATTACCTCAATGTACGGGAGACGCAATTAGAAGACCATGAACTATGTGAGTCAATCTCCGTTCTCCTTTTTTTGTGCAAAAATGCAATGCAGCTGGGTGTTTGACGTGTGGCACATGTGGCACTGAGGATGTTTTCCACATTAACGCAGGCCAGGCATGTGGTTTCTCTGAATCTACGGGGTGCCTCGTGGATCAGTTTTGGACTGTTTGTCTTCACCCTATTTGTCCTTCCAGCATGTTATTTCATGCACAGTGTGGTCTTCTTCTTAACACTGCTTCGATGTTTGTTCTCCAAGCTGAAGTCAGCGAGTGCCACAGCCTGACCCAGGCCGGCGAGCGCAGGAACAGGAAGATCACCTCATTATTTCATTCCATGAAGAAGTGGGGTTCAGCGGAGGACCTGGCGCCCGTGCCGGAGGAGAGGACTGTTGCTCATCAGCTCATGCTGCCTGCGTTTAGACCCAGAAAGTTTTCACGGTAGACTGTGTGAAGTCTCGCTTTAGTGCCGCTTGAGTAGTGTACAGATGAAAACACACTTTGCTGCTTTATTTGCACAAATAGTATGCTGTAGTTGTATTCACATTTAAGTAGCTTTTTAGCTTTATTAGCATTTGTAGTATTATGCCACAGCTGTGTGCGATAATGTATAAGTGTAATGTCTTATTTTCTCTGCTAAAGGTTTACATTTTTCATTAAGCAATGAAAAGGTGCATTTTAAATGACCTGTTCATCTGATGATCCCAAAGTTTTACAAGTATGAAGAACTATGTTGTCTGTATGTTAATGCTAAAGTTCTGTCTTGAATAGAGACCAACTTCAGCTTTTATTTGCCTTATTTTCACCTTACCAAACTTAAAAGTCAGAATCACAGTTTATGGTTCTTCTGTGAGAATGTTTTTCATCCTTAAAGACAACAAAATCAAAAAATACCTTATTTGCCGGTTTTAAAATATTTGATGTACTCTTATTTTATAATATACTCATTATATATATATATATATATATAAACTGATTTTAGTATCTATAGTATATTACATATACTATACTAGTGTAGTATAGTATATTATATTTAATTTTGTATATGTAATTACATATAATTATAAAAATATTTAACTTTTTGCATAGATAAGATAGATAATATTTAACTTTTTGCATAGATAGATAGATACCATATAAATGAACAATAAGTTTAAATATAAAAAGAAATTTCAGCTAAATAAATAAATATGATCCTGAAATAACTTTTTTTTATGATGTCATGACAAAGACTCAGTGCACCGGGAAAAATAATGTCAGCCAATAATATCCCAAACAAGAGTTTTATGATCAAATTCCAATTAAAAAATTAGTCACACACTTTGAAATATTGAAATATATTTTTATGGAATTTAAATGCTTTGCGAGAGCCTTTTCTTTTATTCTTTTCTGCTGCCAATGTCTTGAATTAAATGTTTTAGCACATTTTTTTATATTAAAATAAATGCCTTTTGCATTCCAAAGGATGATGTTGAGTAAATCTGCTAGTTTGTGCCTTATGCTGGAAATCTGAGGCTCTTTCCTGTTACCTGAGTGTTTATTTTCATAATGTAATTTATGTTCCCTTATATAAAACAAAAAATAAATTGTACTGTTTAATGTGTGCTTTTTTCCTGTTCATTATTCAGTTTTTTTCCCTCTAATTGTTAAGATAATTTTTTGTCATAAAGTGTTGCGCTCCAATCTCCCACCTTTCCTCCGGGCCCTTGCGCTAATCTAGCGTGTGGCTCTTTCATCGCTCTCCTGGATCACCCTAACAAGATTACACCCTATCAGATCTTCCACCTCAGTCACTGTCCCCCGGCTCCCACCTTCCTAGCGAAACTCCTCGGTTCTTTTCTCCTCTCCTTCTTTGATGCCCATCGGTTGCTCTGCTTTGAGCTCCCCAGATGGAGCAAATATGGGCCCTAGCAGCCCTCCGTAAGGTCCTGAGCCCTTAATTCCAGCTTAGTCGCAAAAGGCCAGCGCTTGCTTTCGGGTTTTGGGTATCACAGGAGAAGACAGGCAAGTGGTTTTGTGCCTCATTTCTGAAGGGTATGGGGGTGTTTGAAGGATAAAGAGGGCCTTGCTGTAATAGATACTTATCTGACTGCCCCTCAGTCCTCAAACACGATGCTCCTCTGAAGAGATTAGGACCCAGGGAGGGCACATTAGCTCTAATCCCGTGCTTTGAGGGCTCTGCCCCACCCTGCGCTCCACTTATTCTTGCCCCTTCTGTTGCAGGGGGATACCTTGTATCTGGCCTATGTGTAAGGGGAGCCTGTGGCTACACAGGAGGGGGGTCAGAGGGTGTGTGCGTGTCTGCGTTTGTGGGGGGGGAGGCCACTGAAAAGCACGGAGAGGCCTCTACTGCTGTGTAACTGATTCCCGGCTCTCTGAAGAGATTAGGCACTACATTGTTGGTTTGGTTGCTCATTTCCATCTGAGGGCCGCTCCCCCTGCGGTTACGGGCCGCCATTGTGCCTGGGAGGGGGAACTGAAACCAGCGGCTCAAGGCCTCCAGCTTCCTTGTAGTCTTTGTTTTACAAATGACCCAAAATGTAGATGTCATGTCACAGATGCCTTACAAGCACACCAGGTATTGATTGTAAGGGGGAAACAGCCGCATGAGGAGTGCATTTGTTAAGCGCTTTATGCAAGTCTGACTTGTGTGCCTTAAAGTTTCCTCACGTTTCTGATTACAAATGATCAATAATGTCTTTATCTATCTGTCCGTCCATCCGTCTGTCTATTGCATATCTATCTATCTGTCTGTCTGTCTAATGCATATCTGTGCATCAAAATGTGACTTGACTTGTGTGCCTTAAAGTTTTCTCCCGTTTCTGATCACAAATGATCAATAATGTCTGTCTGTCTGTGTCTAATGCATATCTCCTCGGTTCTTTTCTCCTCTCCTTCTTTGATGCCCATCAGTCGCTCGTCTTTGAGCTCCCCAGATGGAGCAAATATGGGCCCTAGCAGCCCTCCGTAAGGTCCTGAGCCCTTAATTCCAGCTTAGTCGCAAAAGGCCAGCGCTTGCTTTCGGGTTTTGGGTATCACAGGAGAAGACAGGCAAGTGGTTTTGTGCCTCATTTCTGAAGGGTATGGGGGTGTTTGAAGGATAAAGAGGGCCTTGCTGTAATAGATACTTATCTGACTGCCCCTCAGTCCTCAAACACGATGCTCCTCTGAAGAGATTAGGACCCAGGGAGGGCACATTAGCTCTAATCCCGTGCTTTGAGGGCTCTGCCCCACCCTGCGCTCCACTTATTCTTGCCCCTTCTGTTGCAGGGGGATACCTTGTATCTGGCCTATGTGTAAGGGGAGCCTGTGGCTACACAGGAGGGGGGTCAGAGGGTGTGTGCGTGTCTGCGTTTGCGGGGGGGGAGGCGCTGAAAAGCCCGGAGAGGCCTCCACTGCTGTGTAACTGATTCCCGGCTCTCTGAAGAGATTAGGCGCTACATTGTTGGTTTGGTTGCTCATTTCCATCTGAGGGCCGCTCCTCCTGCGGTTAGGGGCCGCCGTTGTGCCGGGGAGGGGGAACTGAAACCAGCAGCCCAAGGCCTCCAGCTTCCTTGTAGTCTTTGTTTTACAAATGACCCAAAATGTAGATGTCATGTCACAGATGCCTTACAAGCACACCAGGTATTGATTGTGAGGAGAAAATAGTGCATTTAAGCGCTTCATGCGAGTCTCGATGCTGGCTGTTATTTTCTGAGTTTCTGATCACAAATGATCAATGATCTCTATCTATCTATCTATCTATCTATCTATCTATCTATCTATCTATCTATCTATCTATCTATCTATCTATCTATCTATCTATCTATCTGTCTGTCTGTCTGTCTGTCAATCAAATGTATATCTATCTATCTGTCTGTCTGTCTTTCTGTCAATCAAATGTATATCTGTCTATCTGTCTGTCTGTCAATCAAATATCTATCTATCTATCTATCTGTCTGTCTGTCTGTCAAATGTATATCTATCTATCTATCTATCTATCTATCTATCTATCTGTCTGTCTGTCAATCAAATGTATATCTATCTATCTATCTATCTATCTGTCTGTCTGTCAATCAAATGTATATCTATCTATCTATCTATCTATCTGTCTGTCTGTCTGTCTGTCTGTCTGTCT